GCAGGGAGCCCGATGCGGGGCTCGATCCCAGGACCCTGGGATCATGACCCGAGCCGAAGGCAGCCGCTTAACCGACTGAGCCACCCAGGCGCCCCCCATGTCTTAAATTTATCGTTAAAATGAGAATGTGAGGTAGTTGCTCTTATTCAAAGTGTAGATAAGGCGGGAGAGGACCCCCTCCCCACCGGCAGACAAGTTGAAACACTGGTTTCAGCTGCCTATGGCCTCTGTGGTAGCCTGCGGGGTTCTACCTGACCACCCACCAGTGAGTTCCCAGGAGGAAGAGATGCCAAACTCCTGACCCATGGTGTTTGAAAATACTGTGGAACATTCCCACTCACGGATTTCACTGCAAGTTCAGTGAATATTTTCAGCAAGCCAAAAATGAGACTCCTCAGTCAAGACAACACAAAGCCCCTATGATTAGGAAACAGCAGTAGAGTGGCAATTTAATTATCAAGTCCTCTTCCAGGACACTAAATGTCTTATAAAAATGTATCATTTGCTTTGCAAGTATTTATCCTTTAGTGAACCTAAGTGGTCTTAGAAAAGAGGAGTAAGAGATCTGAGCAGTCACTTAGGTTGGTTGAGTGGTGGGTCTTGCTGGGCTCCTAACAGCCCATTTCCGGGAAAATGGAACTTGGATTTCTCATGAAACATCAATCAATCATCCCGGATACTGGTGACAATCCAAGTAGGCATACTCAGAGTTTTCACTTCCATGCCTTGAATTAAACCTCACATCAGGCAGGTTTAAATGACTTAATTAATCCATCTGTAAGCTTTTAAATGGAAAAACCAAAGTATAGAGAAGCACATTGTCTTAGGTTGTTCTAGTGAATCAAACCACATACTTTTAAAAATCACATGTGCTTTCCTTATGTTAAGAACCGACCCCAAGCACCAAAAAACAGACTCTAACTACAGAGAACACACTGATGGTGACCAGAAGGGAGGGTGGTGGGGGTGCTGAGTGAGGTAGGTGATGGGATTAAGGCGTGCACTTGTCCTGATGAGCACTGAGTAATGTATAGAACCGCTGAGTCACTATATTGCATACCTGAAACTAATATAACACTGTATGTTAACTATATTGGAATTAAAACAAAACAAAACAGAGCAGAACAAACCCCAAGTGCCTGATGAGCACCTCATCTTCATGAGGCCAAGATAGTTTCGTAGCTATTAGGGAAGCTGGCAGAGAATTTCTTCGGGCACCCATGAAGGACGAGGAGGGGGCCTTATCCATTGGCTGCCTCCTCCGACAAAGATCTCATGGAAATTCGGTGGACATACAGAACCAGTCTCTGTACTTAACATTTTCCAAAGCACAGATGTTTTTCTCTTAACTGTGAACGCTGGCTGACTTGTCTGAATCCTTGTCAGGGCTCAGCAGACGGGACGTTCTTGGTGTCTTGTCCCCTCTAACTTGGGGGTTGATGTTCACTGCTTGGATGGAAAACACATCTTTGGCGAGACAGACATGAAAACACATCTTTGGCCGCTTACAGGAAAAATGTTTCCATTTTGGGAAACTCCCTGTGATAAAAGAGTTTTTCTGGCTCTGGGAATACATAAGCAACCACAAGGACACTTCAGTAAAAGAGAAAACAGATTTATAATCGTTTGCCATGATAGTGATATGCAGTTATAAGCTCCTGAGGATTTTCCTGTTGTTTCATTTTGGAAGCAAAAAGTTGACTCATTTTTCTCGTTAGTACCTCAGTGTTTTCATTAGGGGGTTTCTATAAAGACTTTATCTGAATCATCATAAGGAAAACATTTCAGAGCTTGGATAAAAGTTTATCTCCCATAAACAGCATGGACTGCTAAAACCTGCTTGGAGTTGAACAAATTACAGAGAAGCTTTAGTCCAGGACTGCAATATATCAAGTGAAACAGTGATTTTTCAAACACGGCCAAATTCAACTAGTTTAGATAATGCAAGTTTGGAAATGCAAGATTGACTAAAAATGTCAAAATATTCTTAACATACTAATTAAGTTTGTTTTATTAGAATATTTTAATTCTGGGGTGCCTGGGTGGCTCAGACGGTTAAGTGTTTGCCTTCGGCTCAGGTCATGATCCCAGGGTCCTGGGATCGAGCCCTGCATCAGGGTCCCTGCTTGGCTGGGAGTCTGCTTCTCCCTCTCCCTCTGCTGCTCCCCCTGCTTGTGCGCTCTCTCGCTCTCTGTCAAATAAGTAAAATCTTTTTTTCAAAAAAGAATATTTTAATTTCCTAGAATTACATAGCACTTAACTCTTCACTACAAATATTTCATCAAATGGATAGATATATTCATCTTTCTTTTATTATCTGTCAACATCGGTATGCTAAATTGTAATTAGGTGCTCTCATCAGGGATCTCAAGGATAAATTAAAATGCTCAGTAAATATCCAATTGGTATGTACAGACTACAAAATACCATTTTAATCCTTTACAGGAATCAGAAAGCTTAAGCCTTTCATATTTTTAAGTATTTACATGGTGGGAAAACAGAATTTTCCAGGTAATTGTGAATGAGACATTGTCCTATAAGACCAAAAAAAAAAAAAAAAGCCTTATTTCTGTACCAATAAAGTTCCTAACACTGGTTCCTCTTTTAAACTCATTTTGAGTTGTATATGGAAGGTCTAAGAACCAGAAAAACACAAGGCTATTTTAAAAGTGACTTGTTCAGATATTTCTAGCCTCTAAACCTGGCAAATAATGGTAAAGTTTCAAAGTGAAGCCATACCTTTTCTGGGGAACACAATGGTGAAGGCCACTTCTTAGTTGTGGGCACATAAAGTGCCTTTCTCATCTGTGGAAGGACTGCCTGGGGGGAGGAACACACTGTACCCTATGGATCAGGGTTCAAAGTCATCGTTGGTTGTGAGCACCTGGAAGTTCTGTAGGGGTCTGACATTCGAGCCACGAGATGTCCCCCAATTAGAAGCCGTGTTCAAAAGTTCGTAAAATGTCTCCGTATAAAATCATACCCAGATCTTTAGAGAATAGGTCAGACCTATATGATTTAAATACCATCTCAAATGTCACTATGTGAAAAACCATTTCAGAAGCACATCACCCATTGTGGTCTGAAGCAATGATGTTTCTAGAATGGCCTTTATCCATACCACAGTTATTTATTTAAAGATTTTATTTATTTGAGAGTGAGAGAGAGAGAGCATTGGCAGGGGGTGGGGGGGGGCAGAGTGAGAAGGAGAAGCAGGCTCCCCACTGAGCAGGGAGCCCGACGCGGGCTTGATCCCAGGACCCCGCGGGACCATGACCTGAGCTGAAGGCAGACGATTGACAGACTGAGTCACCCAGATGCCCCATCCATACCATATTTAAAGAAAAATAGGGTTTTATTGATACCCTGATTTTGACACTTAATAGCTCTGTGACCTTGGGCACATTCCTTAACTTCTCTTGCCTTAGTTCCCTCATGTGTAAAACAGTAAAGGTCAGGGTAGGGAATAAATGAGTTAATGTGTCCGGCACCTAATAACCACTCCGTGTCAGCTGTTAACTGTTAACTGATAATACTGTTAACACCAGCATTATCACTCACCTGTTGTAGTAACTCATAATGTTTGCAGAAAAGCCATCGGCATGAAGTTTTAAAAATCAATTTAAAAACAGGACTCCCCCCTTCTGGATAGTCCTCACTGCCTTCCTTCTGTGTGAGATTAGGGGTTGCTCTCTCTCTCTCCCTTATAAATATTTGATTGCTAGCCTGCAGGCACAACTCTATGACCCAAATGTGCCCAGCCTGGTCAAAATTTATCCTCAGGTTCCCTCTCTCTCTAGTTGGTCCTGTCCATAGCTAGAGAGGAGCAAGAAGCACCCGCCTAATGGCTGGGGAATCCATTTTGCATACCTCCGCTGAACTAAACTTAATAAGCAACTTAGCAGGCTATGAAGCTATGCTCTTGCTACAACATATAAGAGTCACCTGCCCAGGCGCCGGGTGGCTCAGTCGTTAAGCGTCTGCCTTCGGCTCAGGTCATGATCCCGGGGTCCTGGGCTCGAGCCCCGCATCGGGCTCCCTGCTCCACGGGAAGCCTGCTTCTCCCTCTCCCACTCCCCCTGCTTGTGTTCCCTCTCTTGCTGTGTGTCTCTCTGTCAAATAAATAAAATCTTTAAAAAAGAAAGAGTCACCTGCCCGCTCTGGAAAGTGAGAATGGTAATTTCAGTTCGAATCTGGGGGTTGAGGATTTTATATAAAACAAGGAGACACTCTGGTCTCTGCTGCTTGTCTGGGACAAGCACACGAGGGACCCAGGGAAACTGACCACCTCCTTTAGGGTGCGGTGGGTTAAAGCGGATCACAACCTCTGGAATTTTTAAGTTGTAGGACCTTCCCTGGTGAACTCCTATTTTAATGTTTATCTTCTGGGAGGCAGGCAAATTCAAAGCAAACGAGTACACTATAAATCATGGACACAGAGACAATGCAAATATTTGGGGCTGATAGTTAAGTCTGTTAATTCCTGACAGTTGGCCAGCAGGTTTTTGTGTTTTTTTTTTTTAATAAAATAAGATGTTTACTTTATCATCCACATGCATAAAATTACATAGAAGCAACACACAAAGTGCTTAGAATGCAAATATTCTTTGGTTTACTCATCAAAATAGCAAATAACAAAATAGTAAAAACCTTATCAGTTAAATAAAAAAGTGACATTCTTTATTTACCTATCAAACCTTATTCAACGTTGAAATGCACTTATTTTCATTCTCATGGTCCACAGCAATATGCTTTCTTCCATTTTGGCCCTTTATCCCCCTAAATTATTTTGATGGGCTCATCTCTAAAATAAAGATTGTTGTACTTTTCTTAGTATTGCTGACCTTTACAAGAACCATCTAGATTTTTCTTTGTCTCTTTTACATCTGAAACGGATACTAAAAATGGAGAGTCCACTAGCACATCTTCAAGAATTACCACATTTTCGAAGTATCACCGTTGGTACTAAAAAACAGGACACTCCAGTCCCGAAGCATGTTCGTTTATCAGGCATTATTCACCATATCAAATATAGTTGGTTCCTACAATACTGATTTCAAAGAAGCAGTTTCCTGTTTTTCTGAGGGTTCAGTCTGACCGCCTCAATTCTTGAACGTCTTAATTCTCGATGAAGACTTAATTCTTAAATGTCAATGACAAAAGCTTTAACAAAGGAACACAACAAAAGGTAGACTTGAAAATGAAATCATCTCAAAGGGAGCAATGAGAGCAAGAGAGAGTTCTCAGCTTTTTAACAGAGGTACATATACACAGTAAGGAATAATAGTGAATCAAAGTACATAATTCTGTACACGTGAGAAATACCCAATGTGCTACCAACACAACTGACCTAAAAAAACATGTCTTGAGGTTTGGAGCCATCCATATTTTTCTTTGCATAACTCTATATTTGCATCACACAACCAGACACCTTTCCCACGATCTGCTAACTGTGAGGGAGGGAGCTTTTCACCAGAATTTTTGGCAATCTGCTTTTCTTCAAATGAAACAAGCTGCACAAAACGTTACTGACAATGTCTGACGCCTGAGGTGGGCAAAAGTCTTTCTGAAACATGGGTCATCTTTAAAAAAAAAAAATCGTTTTTCCTTCATAAATCAGCAGTGCTCCGTTTTCAAAGAAATCACGGGCGGTTGCAGTCTTAATGCACATGGTCAGATGTTCTCCTCATCCAGCATTTTGTTGACACCATCGCAGAGTTTTTGTAAGTGGGGCTTAAAATTCCCAAAGGGGTTATATAAGGCAGCTAAAAAATCACAATCGGAAAAATGGTCAAAGACGTTATTAACCCGTCCATGCGACTTGGCTGTGAGGTGGCGCTGGATGATCTGGTGGAGCATCTCTCGGCACTCGTTCAGCAGGCGGGACAGCACGTTCCGGTCAAAGGTGTACTCCACCTGATGGAAGCTGACCACGGTCATGGCCAGCTGGTGGACTTTCTTCTTGAATTTCTCCATCAGCGCCAGCTCGTCTTGGTTGAACTGGTTATTCCTGTAAAGAATGGCCAGTTTGATGACGGTCTTGATGAGGTTCTTGATGATCTTCTCTGCCTCCTTCTTGTTCTGGGTGTATTCCTTGGTCACCCGGTAGAGCTCATCCAACACCTCGCTGCTCGTGTCATCGATGAGGGTGGTGGCGATGGATTTGGACACCATTTTCCCCAAGATCTTCTTTTGAGCCTGCACGGCCAGGTTTTTGGAATTGAAGACATCTGTGGCCACTACAAAGAAGCAAATTAAAAAAAACAACAACAACAACAGATAATTAAGGAGGATTTTCCTCTCACTTTCCCACTATAGGGTTGCCTTCCATCTACTGATACTAACTTCTGTTCAGAAAAGGACTAAAAATTTTACTACATTTCTGGGCATCAGGTTCTCATTGTTTCTTTCTTTCTTTCTTCTTCTTCCTTTTTTTTAGTATTTCATTTATTTATTTGACAGAGAGAGCACAAGCAGGGGGAGCGACAGGTAGAGGGAGAAGCAGGCTCCCCACTGAGCAGGGAGCCCGATGCAGGGCTCCATCCCAGGACCCCGGGATCATGACCTGAGCCCAAGGCAGATGCTTAACCAACTAAGCCACCCAAGCGCCCCAGGTTCTCTCTTTCTGAAAAGAAAGGGTTGTTGTGCGTCATCTTTAAGGTCTCTGGCAACTCCAGTATTTTATACCTTCTGCTATACACTCAGTACTTTGTTTAGCAGTTGAAGGTGACCTTTCCTAAGATAACTTTTTCTGATTTTAAGAATGGCACATCTCACGAGGCAGTGAGTTTTGATGCAATTTCCCCCCAGTTGAGTTCTATAAGAAATACACCAAAAATATAAAATCAGCTCCACAACTGTCCTCTGGGCACCAGTCACCAAGAACAATTTAAAGAAACCCCTTTAAACGTAAGAAGGATAAATAGCAAAGCCACACTGAGTCAAGTAGCAAATTCATGGAAGCAAATCAAAAGGAGAGCCCTGCTTTACTTATTTTTTTTTAAGATTTTATTTGCTTATTTGCCAGAGAGAGCACAAGCAGGGGAAGCTCCAGGCAGAGGGAGAAGCAGACTCTCCGCGGAGCAGGGAGCCCAATGCGGGACTCAATCTCAGGACTCCGGGATCATGACCTGAGCTGAAGGCAGACGCTTAACCCACTGAGCCTCCCAGGCATCCCAAGGAAAGCCCTGCTTTAAACTTCAGCTGCAGAAAGTCAAATTTCCTTAGACATGGGCCCACCCCTTCCAGTGTGGTCATCCTAAACACCCCAAATTTCAACTCCCAGAAGTTGAGTCTTAGAAAAGAACATTCATTCCGTGGAGGGTGCCTTGTCACTTGCTATTGTTGGTTCCCTTGAAATGTTTCTACATTCTATGGCAATAACCACACTTTTATGAGCTAATGAAATGTGCTCCATGAATAACACGTGTTGAAAAAGCTGAGGCTATGGGGCGCCTGGGTGGCTCAGTCGGTTAACCTCTTTGAAGCTCCTTTGCTCATTAAACCTCAATGTTCCATTTGCTTTCAAACATAAAGACAAGGGAAAAAATTTTTTTCATGTAGTAGCCCTTGAACCTCCCACAAGAGAAAGTGTGAAAAGCAAGGCCATGGCCAACAAGGTCGCTCCCCATTTACCAGTAACAAGTCTCAACCAGGACAGAGAAGCTGATTTCTGAGGCTCTCCCAGTTGCCCCAGAGGAACTGCAAACCCTGTTCTAGAAACACAGAAGCCACTTCCTCCTTTCGTTTTCTTCTTTGGGTTATATCCAGCTCAGTCATCTTGGAAAGGGAGGCTGAAGCGCTCTCTCCCCCTGGGCAGGGAAGACATGCGTGCAGTGGATTTCTTTTCTAGCACGAGTGAAGGCTTCCTTGGAGCCAACGGGGGGTTGTGGCTGAGAGTTCCTAGCCAGGGCTGTGTGGTCTGTGATCATGAAATATGATTTCCCCCCCCTTGCAAATTAATTGCCGTTAGCCATTCCTGCTCAGGCTCATTTGTCAGTTCCACATCCTCTACCAGATCCTTTAAAGGCCTGGTGTATCTCAGGGCTAGTCCTGGATCACGTTTTTCTCCTTTGCTCTACCCTCAGCCCCGTGTGAGCTCACCCGCTCCCGCAGGCTTCAGATACCCCCCAGGTGCCAGCAACTTCCACACTTAGAACTCACTCTGACCTCTTTCCCGGACTCATTTTGCAAATGCATTCAAGGTTTTCCTTTTTCTCGGCTATTTTGCAGGCATTGCAAATGCACCATGTCTAAAAGAGAACCCTTGATTCCCTCGTGCTCCCAAAGCATTCCTTCTCCACTCTACCTTCATGAAGAGCATCTCTTCCAACCATTTGCTCAAGCGGCGGGAGGAGGGGGGAGAGGGAAGAGGTGCTGGCCCTCACCCGCTACACGTCCCCTCTCTTGCCCCGCCCATGACCAAGAGTTAAGCGGCTGCCTTTGGCTCAGGTCATGATCCCTGGGTCCTGGGATCGAGCCCTACGTCCGGCTCCCTGCTCAGTGGAGAGCCTGCTTCTCCCTCTCTCTCTGCCTGCCTCTCTGCCTACTTGTGCTCTCTCTCTCTGTGTCAAATAAATAAAATCTTAAAAAAAAAAGAAAAAAAAGAAAAAGCTGAGGCTTAGAGTTTCCTTTGAAGTTACCATCACTTAATCTGACAGAGGTGTAAGATACACGTAATAATCGTTGTACGTATTCAGTACAAAACGCTGTGTGATGCTCTTAGCTTACAGCCGGTCAGTGAAATGCTCAATACATGTTCACTCCCCAAACCAAGTTTAGTTTTTCCCCTATATTTCCACGCCCCCCAACTCTGTGAATGCTACTCCATCAAAACGTGCTTTCTCCCTCCCTTCTGGGTCCTCCGAGCTGGAGTTTTTGGGGTCTCTATCCCCACTCTGGGTCCAGGACCAGCTGTTGTCTCTTGTATTCCAGTGCATAAGCCCAGGCCTGGGTGTCGGAAAGCAGTCATTTAGTAACGAAAGATAAAAAGACTAAAAATACAGATAGGTAGGAAGGAGTCCGGGCATTAGCGATATATAATTACTTCTAGTTTGGACAGGCTAGCGGCAGAAAGCGAAAAGGCAGCTACCCCCAAATCCAGGCTAGGAGGGTGTTTAAGAAAAGACACTCCCTCCATGGGACTGTCATGTTCGACTGACGCTTGGGCCAGAGTAGCTCACAGGATATATTCCAGGCAGTGCCAAGTGGTTCCTACTGACCAGGATGCTGTTCATTAATACAAGGGCCACACGCCCTGAAGGAACGCCTTCACTGAACCAGAAGCTGTGCCCTCACAACTGTCAGTATTTAAACGTCTGAAACATGAACTGAAACTGCAGAAGAGCTGAAGTGTATTTTGGGAAAGAAAAGGAAAGCGAAAAAGCATGAGAAACCGCCAACTTGTGAAGGTTTCCAACATGTTTCATATTTTCATCAGTCACATCCATTTCTATTCCTAAAGGTCTGCAGAAGAGTGTATGGGTTAATCCACATTAAATAGTTTGTATCAAAATAAATGGCACACATGTAGTTACTGTTACCACATTAAGACCAGGGACCATCTTCCGTTGCAGAACTTATGATATGGATCTCAATAAATAAACCTGATTTATACAGGAAGGGATACCCCTCAAATTTCAGACCCCCGGTAAATAATGATTTCAGAAACTTACATAAAGTTCAAAGGTTATTCTGTGTTGAATCTATTAGGAGATGACACAGTCTCCCAACACCCATCTGGGATTTACTACAATGTCTATTAGATAGATGTCCTGGGATCGAGCCCCGCATCGGGCCCCCTGCTCAGCAGGGAGTCTGCTTTTCCCTCTCCCCTCTGCTGCTGCTTCCCCTGCTTGTGCTCTCTCTCTCTCTGTGTCAAACAAATAAATAAAAATCTTTAATAAAAGGACTCCTGCCAGAGTGACTCAGTTGGTTAAGTGTCTGCCTTTGACTCAGGTCATGATCTCAGGGTCCTGGGATCAAGCCCGGCATCGGGCTCCCTGCTCAATGGGGAATCGGCTTCTCCCTCTCCCTCTGCCCCTCTGCCGTTCTTGTGCTCTACCTTGCTCTCTCGCTCTATCTCAAATAAATAGATAAAATTTTATTAAAAAGCCTTTAATAAAAAAATAATTCACTTCTGTTTGAAAATATACATGTACATCCTTGACTAAGGAAAAACGATGCCATATAACAAAAACATACGAAGGACTGCCACTAGCAAGATTGTTGTATAGAAAGAGATGTTAAATATTATTTTACGTCTACTTATCTTTGGGCCCTTCCTCTATATCTCTATATCTCCTTTCTTGGTTTAATGAAATTGTCCATGTCCGCAACGTTTACTGTATAAAGCAAACAGATATTCAGGGAATCCCAGTTTTAGCATCAGCAATTATAAATTTGGAGATAAACATTGATGGTAAAAACATACTGACCCCTGTCTATACGGGGGAAAAAAGTGCTCATAAAAAACAAAAACAAAAAACAGGCGCCTGGGTGGCTCAGTTGGTTAAGCGACTGCCTTCGGCTCAGGTCATGATCCTGGAGTCCTGGGATCGAGTCCCGCATCGGGCTCCCTGTTCAGCAGGGAGTCTGCTTCTCCCTCTGACCCTCCCCCCTCTCATGC